GTTTGGATAATATTTCAGAGCACCCGAATGATTCCGAGGACGTTGCTTTCGAAAACCTGCCGAAGATGACGTTTTTGGTGACATCAGTGAAATCATAAGCGAATGCTTCCGAGCACGTTACTTCGTAAGACCTGCCGAAGATGACGTTTTTTGTGACGTCAAAGGTCTATTAAATGTAATCGTAAAATTTATTTTCTGGCTCAGATATATACTGTTTCGTATGTTTTCCATCGTTTCCAACCCCCTTGAAACCATTCTCAGGCGTCCCATCCGATACAATGTGAAAATGTTGGCTACAACATACATATGTGGGTCATTTTAGGTCATTACCTGATATTTTACTACGAAAGATATTGATAGTGTTCCGTGAAAGCCTTAGTTGTGTGCTGCGCCACTTACGGTGGTTCCGGGACTTCAATTATATCATGTAGAAGCAAATGTTATATATTTACATTCAATTTACGGCACTGCCGCAAGTGTAACAACATCCACACGCACAATTTCGTTCGCCGAATTGAAATAACGAATAACAACAAATTATCTCAGATGAGAAAATCCTCATCATTTAATAGAGTAATATAATTACAACATAAGAGACAAGTATCAAATTATTTTTTTTCAATTGTCTCAGTAAATCAAATTATGTTAAACTCTCGACTAAATGAAAGCGCCCCAGTTTCCTTAAAAATGAGTATGGAGTACACTGTTTAAAAACAAAAACCGACACCTAATGTCAATATATACTGGGAAATAACAAAAACGAAGCAATTCACAAATACAGTTATTGTAGAGTTAATATGTTTGAACGGTAAGTGCGAATTATAGCATTATTAAATTATAGATATTTATAATATTTGTTTATTTTCCTGATACTTTCATTTGATCTCGTTTTAGATCAAATGTTTCTGTGTCGTAGTACTTGTTTACTATTACGTATGTCGGGAGTAATCACAAAAGAAAGCCAAAAGAACATTGTTTTAATTAGGAACTTAATGACAGCTTGAATGCGTTCAATTTGCTGTTATTAGAAAGAAGCGGCCATGCCTTATGACAGGCAGACGAGTCCATAAAAGCAGGACATACAAATACTAGCAAGTATCATAATTTGTTGATAAGGTTTTGTTTTAGGTTTTACCGTAATCTATTTATGTGTGGAATTGCCTAGTTTTCGGTGATTCAATGTAACGAACGTGGAAGTAAAATATAATTGTATATAAGTATTCCAAACAAAGTTTGGAAACAAAAACATCCATGAAAAGTCATTTATTGTCCTACCGATTTACGTATGGTGGTGTACACTTTATATGGCTGCAAAGTTAGAGATAACCCGACAGTATACTTCAGTTCAGGAATCTCGCCCTGACATGGCTCAAAACTACACTGGTGCATTAGAGCGGAAAATAAAAGGAATAGTTCCAACTGTGCCAGTTGTTCCCCGGGACAGCGTCGCTTACCCACACCGAACGCCATCAGTTTCCTTGTAGCCGACTTGTTCAATGATCGGCAATCCATGGAGAGGAATCGTTCAGGCCGGAACAATTCAGGTTCGTCCCATGATTCAGGGTCGTGATTGGCAGACCATAAATTGACAAAGATGGGGGTATACTTTGGAATATGGTAGTTATACAATGTTGTGCTCTGGACAGTACAATGAGGAATTCCCATCGCAGCGATGGACGAATCGCGGAGCACTTCCTGTATAACGGCATCTGTAAATGGCATACTGGGTCGATCGGATGACTTCGGTAACCGATCTCTGCCAACGACTCTATCGATTTCTTCGTGGACTTTACGTTGAATGTCGGGGTAGATGATCATATAAACCAATGATATGTACAGTGTTTTGCTAGTCGTGTCGTATCCGGCGCCAAATAGATTAGACAGTGTGGCTATGACTTCTTTTTCTGAATCAGTATTTTTAAGTAATGAGGCTCTACCTTCATCCACTTCGTACATGCTTAAAATTCTGTCAAGAATGTCACGAGGAGCGCTGCTCTTGTACACATTATAGTGCTCTCTCAGCCTATCTTTCATATACGACGATTCCTGTTCTAAGTAGGTGTCGAGCTGGTCTTGAATGGAACTCGGCACAAATTGTAACCATGGGAAAAAATCTGCTATGTTGCCATTTCCAGTAACAGCCTGGGCAAACTGCTTGTTAAGGCATACGAGGTCTTTGAATTCCGGGTCGTCGTGGCTGTAATTTTTACCAAATAATGCGAAAACGATAATGTTGCCAATGGCGACATGAATGTCATCATGGGCGTCCATGACGTGCCCTTTCATATTGTTAGTCAGGATTCGAATCAGTTCACTCGCTTCTGTTGTAATCTTCTGTTCAGTAGAGAACAGTCGGTCAGTTACAAAGTCCCTCAAGGACGCATCAACCACCTTGCGCAGTTTGCGCCATTGTTCGCTGTAACTACTGAATGCAAGCCCCTTACCGCCCTGGCTTGATTTCATAAACGAAGGGAACCGAGGTCTTCCGCTGAATGCAATTGGTTGTTTAAAGAGAGCGTCTCTTAAAGCCCTTACCCCATTAAGCACGACGATATTTTGGACACCAAGACGTATTTGGAAAACGTTTCCATAATCTGAGGCTATTTGCATCAGTGCGATGTGAGGCGATTCGCCGAGGGACAGTAATGATCCGATAATCGGCCATCCTCTAGGCCCCGGCATTTCCGGCAACCTGTTGCTTTTCCACCATACTAGGAGCGTAATTAAAATAATGGTGATGAGTAAAACCAATGCAGAAGTTCTGTCGGTGAATATAGACTGGCACATGGCGATAACGTCGTCTCAACCACAGGGGCTTATCGGCTGATGGCAAATTTTCTAGTGCGATAACAAAGTGCTTGACGGGTGGACACTCCTCAGCCCCAATGACGTCAAACCTAAAGACTATCTACATTTTAAGCTGTGATACACATTTTAACTTAACAAAACTCACACAAATTGAATACAGTATATTGTCGACACATTTAAACCACAACCACAATCAAGTGACGCAAATTTTAACCATTTTCTGGGTTGGAACAGGTCTGTACGTCAGCATCCATCAAGGGCATTGTCTTGATACTGATTGGTTAGAATAGTAGGCGTGTTACGGTGGGACCATATATACAATTGGTCCGCTACATCCTTGAAAAAATCGCTGAAAAAAGTAGGGCGCGATCGGCTTCTTTAAAATCGGTCGGCTATTTGAAAATCGGTCCGATACTTGAAAATTGCTCCGCTACATGAAAATCGGTCGGCTACATGAAAATCGGTCAGTTAATTACTTGAACATTGCTCCGCTATTTGAGAAAAAAAATCAGTTGGCTTGGCAATCCGGTTTGGCAATCGAGATTGTCATAGTTTTTAATATCCAAAGTACATGATCAGTTTTTGTCCATTTGTAAGTCTTACAAATTATTATAGTTCGTAAAGAAATATTTTTGATTTCAAATAGTGTTTATTAGTAAATATTGTGTCATGTAACTGAATTCTGTCTTCATTGGTTAGGCTACACTGATTTAATTTTATGGATGACATCCGCTGGAGACCCCAAAACTAATACGAGAGAGCGAAAAAAAAATCTTGGCAAAAAAAATCCTGCTAAATCCACAGGACTCTCCCTGGCCGACGTCAATTGCGTACCATTCAACAACAATCTTTCTGTTTTTTCTCTGAACTTCTATGCTCATGTATTTTGGTGGCGTAGTCGCCATGTTGGAATTCCCGGCAACGCAATACGCATGTGGCACGTTTGGAGGTAGTCCAGTCCAAAACGAGTTTTACGACAAGTCGGCGCTTTGCGACAATATGAGTCAGCAAGTTCCGGACAGAAAACCGATATGTGAAGACTCGTCGTCGGAGATTTTTTTTTTTTTTTTTGAGAACAGGCGAAAACTAATGCGCGCGTGGATGTCATCCATGAAATTAAGTCGATGTGGCCTTATGAGTTTTACAAATAGTTGGAGCGAGTCAATGACCACCAGAATTTTTCAATGTGGAAAAATCTGATTCGACTGAAAACATGAAAACACTCATAATCGTAGACACACACACACTGCTACGACTCGTCTCAATTGGAGGAGATGTTCTGTGGAACCGAGTTACTGACATGGTAGGACATATTTCTTAGCTGCAGTGGTAGGGCTGTTTTAAATCCCAAATATTTGCCTCGTCATAGAAAATTTTGAAGGTGAAAGGTATATCGCATTTTAGATCAAATCATGATTGAGTGTACTGCATTATAGACCAAACATTGGCCATGTGCTTATGGGCGAGATTTTTTCTTGCCGTTTTTTGGCTTTCTTTTATATCATGTAGAAATCACGTGTGTGCAATAAATTCACCCTGTGATAGACCGAATTGTTGAAAAAAAGACACTCGCGCCAAAAACGCACACATTACAATTATTTTAGATAACATATTGTTTGTTTGTACAATTATTTTAGTTCTATCGCTTCAGTTTTTACAATCACACAGATTTGTTTAAAATAATTCATGAACATTTTTGACCGATTTATAAACCGTAGTTGCAGTATCATGTGATATATGTGAAGACGCTCGTTTTAAAGTTGAATAAAATCCAAGCTTGGTAGTAGTAAAGCCATGAAACTGATTTTTAGTGATGTAAACGTGATACACGGTACAATAGATTTTGGTAGTAGATTTTTTGTTTGATTGCTGCAATCATAGACCCTCAACAAGGGTCTATGCTGCAATCACTAGACAATGCCGTATCATAGACCCTGTTGTTGAGGGTCTATGGTTCTATTAGAAATGCATAGCGTTAATAGCAAGGTATGCAATTTTAGATTTATATTAGCTTTTGTAGTAGAGCAGACTGGTACTGGATAGAAAAAGGCTCATCCTGTTAAGGAAAAGCAAGGGCTATCAAGGAAAAATGTCTGTCCTCGTTGTTGTTGACTTGATATATGTTTGACAATACGTTTAATTATCCGAGTAATGCTGCAGACTCGTTCGATGTTGGTGCACAGCCAACGGTCATTGTTTACTAAAATCTAGAGTACTGCAAACATTTGATGTTATATGAAATTGATACTTAGGAATTATCTTTATTGTTTTACAACGACCATCATAGAACCGCAGAAAATTATGGTGTATTTGGATAAACATACCACACAATACAATACAGAGACCTGGAAATTGATTAAATACACATACCCACTCTATGAAGCGCAATGTCATTAAAAGAATATCTAGATATTAAAGCTTAATATATTGACTATTCTGAAACCACATTAGTGTATTGCATGCTTCTTTGTAAAAGGTTAGCTTGCAAGACATATTTTCATTGGTTCAGTGTATTATGTTGACATGTTGACCAATCAGAGGCTGTATCTTTGCACCATAAAATATTAATGTCTTGATTTTATTGCAGCACCTAAAATTCGCATGTTTATGTACAATGCAGAACGTGTTACAATCAAGTTTCACCAAAGTCTTTACCGAGACAGACACCAACTTTATAAAAATAGCACCCTCTTCAAAGATATGCATAACAAATATCTTGAGTATTGCTCAACAGATTTCATAGTTTGGTACAAAAACATTTGTATATATTTGTAAATAAACTTTGGTGGATATATAGGATACTTCAAACCACAAATCGACAATCAAATTTATATAATATAATTTTGCTCTAAAATTTCTAGCATTGTACTGTAATTCTGTAAGTGGGATTGCTTTCCCATTATGAATCTCAATGCACTTCACTATTACCTCGCAATAAAAGCTTGTCCTACATTTCTAATACATATTAAATATTCCTTATTTCTATTTCATGCCTCCAATACCCATTGGCATACTGGAAGGCTTTTATACTTTGTTAACATCTAAAAGTATACATACAGAGAATACTGCAATATAGTTAGTGATAATAGTCCTCCAATATGGCGAAACCTTTCAATTGATAGATAATCAATGGCAAATTAGTTTCTAGAAGTCTTGTATACCACCCAGTCCATAGATCGAGCGAAAGGTGAGCATTATTATCAAAAGAAATGTTTGTGTTGAGTTTTTCAAAGGTTTGAGTGCCCGATTTGGTTTACAAATGACCAATTAGTGGCCATTTTTCAGAAATATGAAAACAAGATATTGTTTTCTGAGATGTAGTACCATCAAATTAGCTACATTTTTGAAAGTCTGGAAAACATTTGTATTCGAAACTTGTATTTTAATTTTTTGTTAAAATATAAAATAAAACCCAACATGGCCGCCAAGTTACCATACATCAAATACACAACAAATGAAATTGATTGACGTAACTATAAAATTGAATTTTAATCAATTTATTGTTATAAATAAAACACAGTTCAAAGAAACTGTTGCAAATAGATATATTCAGTTTTCCTTTCTTTTGACAGGTGGCCATATTTTCTGAACTTCAATATGTTTTTCATTCGGCAGCCATTCACAAAAAGAAGAAAGTAAATCTGAAAATAAGAAACTTGGTTATTCAATCTTCCTGTTAAACATATTAAAAACTGCAGCCAGATGGTGAGCTTGAAGTGAACCATGGCATGGATATATGTGCAAAATTTGAATGATGTTGCTTGCAGTCTAAGATATGTTATTGAAATAAAGAATTACAAATGCTGGTTGTTGTTATTTCAAATTATGATGTTTATGTATACTACAATCATCGATTCATTCCAGTCTCGCAATGGTAGAAATGGTTTATTTTGGGACATTTTAAGTCGGGTATCTTGAACCAAATCAAGATGAAAGTGTATAGGTGTGAAAAGTTTGAATGTGATCAGTCCAGGTACCCTCATCAGAGGTGTATGTGAAAAAATGTTTTTCATGCCCCCCAAATCAAACTTACATTGACTATTTTTGTCCCAGGCTTTTAATAGGGCATCCTTTGAATTCACATCTTCCATCACTAAGGATTTTAACAACACTTCTGTCCTCGGCTGCAACCTAAGAATGACATCACAAGCCATTTATTTATTGTGATTAAGTTTTCATAGATCAGACATAATTATTGATAGCAGTGGTAGTGATGTATTTGTAGTGGAAATATTGAATATATTGGTAGCAATTTTAGTGTATAAGTGGATATTGTCAGTGGATGTATTGTATTTTAATAGTTGTAGTATATTGACAATGATTGTAGTACTATGGTAGTGGCTTAGAATATTGGTAGCAATTTCGGTGTATTTTAGTGTTTGTAGTATACGGTAGTGGTTACAGTCTATTGGAATAAAATACACAATGTAGTGTATTTGTAGTGGCTAGAGTGTAATGTATGAAGTGTATTGGTAGTGAGTTTCATTTCAGGATGTGTGCAACTCAATCGTATGTTTTTATATCCATCCCTTCTGCTATAAATGATATATCTACTTACTTTGCCCAAGATTTGACCATTGTACTTGGAGTGGACAACAGATGTGGTACAAATACAGCCAGAGACTTGATGACCTACATGTAAAAAAAAGTGACATAAAAATAAAATACTGTTATGTTATGTTATGAGCCATTGTGATCAATGTTGAGACATTTTGACAACATCACATTTTATAACATTTAATAATTCTGATATTACATTAAATATTGGTATAAAAAGGGATTTAAATGATAAGTGTATGCAGCTGGTATGATAAACATTGAAAATAAAATGATAATCAGGTACATTCCTATTTCCACAAAATAAATCTTTGAATAATGTACATACATTGTACCTGGAACTAGTGTGGAATTGGATGGACCCTAACCTTATAAATACATAGTACATGTATAATTCATTACTAGATAGGAGTGAAAGTCCACTAACTACTTGAAGATTATATGCATTCTCCTTTCAGAGAAACATTCTGACTTTTACGGCACACAGCATGTAGGGTTTAAATAAACAAGTTCTTTCCTGACACATTATTTATTTATCAAACAAATTTAAGTTGCATGAGCTCCAGTGAGATCCAAAAGCAGCCACAGCAAGCAACCGTTACATTTAAGCAGAATTTCATTGAAAGCTTATGCTTAAAACTATAGCAATCTTACCTTTCCTTCAAGTAGAAACTTAGCAAACCATTTGTATTTCTCAATATTATTTGGATATTCTAATTCCACAGCAGGAATAGTCCACCCACCACGACCTGACAGTAATATAGATGGAAATCAATGATTAGTAATAGCACTCATGACATGTGGATAAAAAACATATTTCTGTATTATGTTAAGATTGCCATACCACAATTTTAAACTACATTAGTTCAATTTTTCAATTTATTACACCAATTTGTCGGTTGGGAAATGAAACTACCATACTAGTATTAATTTTTAGTAGATGAATTTCGAAATAAAACTCCTAGATGCCACAAATTCAAAGAAGGCTGATGTCATCAGTTAGGATTTATTTGTATGTTTGTATTTTGTAATATTACTAATATTTGGTAAATATTAGTTACTGTGTATGTGCTTGAGCCTAACTGTAACTGGTTGACTCTGGGGTTGCTCACTAAAATGTCATAATGCAATTGGATGATGACGATGACAAACTTTCAATATGGTTTCTGTGACAAAATGCACTTACTCTATATATTCAAGACTGTTATATGTGCATGCTAGAGTCCTGAAATTGATTGGAAAGCTTACCGAATGTGCTAGTCATATAACAATGTACAGTACCAGTCTTGGCATGATACACCACAGGAGGCTCCTCCAATGGTCTGGATAAAACACACATGTGAGGCAGTAACCTTGGCAACCAATCAGGCTCAATTGCTGTTATACCTATAGGAAATAACAATAAATGAAAAATTGGATATTTGAAACTGACATGACAAGGTGCACCCTGTGAATACCAAATGACCTTGCTAATTACAATCTTTTGTTACAATTCTGGCTATTGTTGAAATAGGACACACCAGTTCCATGTAGTCTTATAAGAAACATTTACACAAAAGAATGTGATACATAAACCATCTACCTCAAGAGCCAAACAACATGCTGCACAATGATAGGTTCTGATTATGTACTATTATAATTAAAATATACTCTATAAAATATATACTATTACATTATTATAAATCTGTCACCGTGAAGTTACAGTGTGCCGTAATTTTGTGGTATTTTACGTGGTATTTTCATCCTACCATATTAGGAAATGCGAATTCCAAATATGGAATGATTACGCGCACAAGCGTCCTCTAATAATAAAAATAAACATGAATGCCACCAGGGTTTGACCGGACTCCGCACAAAGAAGTTTGCTGATTCTGTTCAAAACATTTTGGATTTCGGCATTCCTATGATGTATCCTTGGAAGGAAAAGATGTATAATAATAAGGTTATTATGAGGATACCTCAAAGTATACACTCACACAGTATGCCATCGCATCAACGTCCACTGCGCGTCAGTCGATACTCCCGCTGTACTGTCTTTGTGCATACTTTGAGGTATCTCATAATAACCTCATAGTAATATACATTTATTATGACATACCTCTCATATATAGTTTGCCTGTTTCTATCACTTCTTGATAGATGACATACTCTGGCAACTGTCTGAACAGAACAGACTCTGGATGGATATAAATCAAATCTTCTAGACCTTCAGCCTATGAGAAAATATTCATAATTTAATAAATATAAATAGGATAAAGATGCAGAGTATTAGCAACAATTGCAACAACAGTGAAAAACTGACATCAGGGAATAAAATCACTATAAAAACAAGTCCCCGTTAAATTTTTGAAAGTTCTTTTTGTGCTCGTCATATTAAAGCAGAGGGGTTGTCGCAAGCGTGTCCTTGAATCTTGAGTTCTAAGTGGCGTATACAACAGATTGTTTATTTACATCAAAACACATGTTCCGTGTAGTAATAATATGGCCAAAAATAAAAACAGCCGTTATTCGGCCATCTTTGATCTAATTATGAAACACACAGATATGTATGATGTATGTGCCAAATACGAATGAAAATGGTACATAAATTGTGGAAACATAGTAGTAAGGCCAAAAAGTCAGATGGCTGTCAATCGGCCATCCTTGACCAGATTTTGAAACAAATTGTCATGGACATGCATCCTAACGTGTATAAAGTACATGTATGTGCTAAATTTGAATGAAAACTGACAGAGCACATCCAAGATACCACATAAAAAACCAAACAAGATGCCTGCCAGTTGACCACCTTTGATCCAATTGTGAAATAAAACGTCGTGGACATGTTCCTAACATGTATAATCTATGTACCAAGTTTCAATGACAACTGAAAAAGCATGTCCAAAATACAACATTTTCAAAAAACAAGATGGCTGCCAGTCGGCCATTTTGAATCGAATGGCTAAACCACTGCATGTGCATATGTCCCACATAAGGTACTAGGCATATGCAAAGAATGAACGGAATCGGTCCAAGGGATTCTGAGATATGACGGACGGAGATCGAATTATAAGTCCCTGTTTTTGGACTTCGTCCGAACAGGGACTAATAATCACCTTGTACGCTCCTTTAGTTTCCAGTGTTTGTTGATCAGAGGGCAGCCTCCTGCAAAGTGAAGCATAACAGACAATAACAATTCATTAGTTTATTATCACCATGGGTACACAATAGACATAAAATTACATATTAGAGTTGAATGGTCTAAGTTTTACAAAAATTGTTGGTATATTTCTGATTACCAAAATTACCAACTTAGTATACACGTAGTGATTTGTCATGTACCATGGCATATACATATATTGATGATAATGGTAAGCAATATAGCTAGAAAATTAATTCAATTGTTAGATACGAAACAATTTGTATATGCACAGATAGAACATCTTAATATTTTTTTATGTGTGTTCATTATGGTTCGGTATTACCGAAATAAAAAAAAACTTGAATCTTGCTTGCTCTCTACAATATAAAATAAATTAAAATGAAAAATTTAAATTGTAGCTAAACTACTGGTATGTGAATGAATAGGATACTAGCCTTGCTACGTGGTCACCCATACCAGCCAATCCAATTTCCCGTAAAATTTTCATCTGTTAAACAAAAAATATATGGCAATTTTCTGATACAATAATTTTTTTTAAATTGAATAACAATTTGTTTTAACTTATTTTTTTTGGGAATCAAATATAAAGTAGAATGGTGTTAGAAATAAAAATACCTGAATTAATGACGGTGGTTGCATTTTGGGGTCCACAAATATTCCACAGTCTGGATTGACAGCATTTACTGAAAATGAAGAACAAACATAAAGTTACATGAAGAAAGTCAATATCATCTTTATGATTAAATTTCGTATTATTGCTCAGATAATTTTTGTTGTTTTTTTATTCAGTAGCTGATATGACAGATATAGAAACAGGATATCCTTTGCAAATCTTATATGGCTTATAAAGACTATGGATAGTTTCTATACTGATAAGTAGGTACATGAAGATAGTCTCCTAAAATTAAAGCTGTGGTGTACTCTATTTTATATGGGTAAATGAACTATTATCAAACCCAAAACCTCTGATGGTACGACCCCAATCTGATTAAAATCTAATGTAGTGTACAGGCTTTAATTATTTTGGCTATAAACTTGTTTTAATTTTATTTTTTATTACTTTTGTTATTAATGCCTTTTTATTTTATTATTTTACTTTGATTTTGATTTTGTAATTGTTTTCAATTCCGCCCTACATACATCTGACCCGATGCCTATGTAACGAGATTTCAACAAGACCCACTATCGTCGATTTTAGTCAACGGATCACAGACCTCCTTCTATAGCGCACATGATGACGTCACCGGGCAAAGTCAGGTGGCAAACACACTCAAATAAAATGGCGTGAGCGGTAAGTTTATCATTGTCAAATGTAACGAAATACATTTGTTATGTTTATATTGTGGCTCGAATGGTTCGACATTAGATCATTATTTTCCATAGTTATTCTGGGAGTGACAATTTTGTTTCCACCGGTTCGACCAAACACTGGTGTCTTGTTGATGTTTTGTTGACGATCGGGCCAAAATCTTCTACGGTATTGAAGCCGTAGCTGTAAATATTCATCAAAATGTATCAACATTTTGTACATTATACAATACTTAACTCTTTATTAAAGTAATTGAGCTGATTTGGACTGGAATAAAATATTTTTTATTTGGAACACATCGCAATTGATCAGGAAATATTTTTTTGCTCCAATTTTCTGCGTCGATGCCGTGGGCCGGTGACCGTTATACAATTTATAATAAGTTTGCATTGTTTACTATAGCTGTTTACAGTGTTCTAATCCTTACGATTTACTTATTTTTGTGCTTCCATTCTAGATAATTATGCTCAATGTTTGATGTAAAATTGAAGCGATGACTAAATAAATGAACCTTGGCTGGCGAAGATGTATCAGAAATTGAAATTGAAAAAAATATTCAATGTAATGACAAAATTTGTAAAATGCTGTGGAATTTCTTTTGTAAATAAAAATATACTAGCAATTTTCTATTAATGGTTTATTCAAGTGGGCAAAATATAATGTACAGAAAGAATGCCCGTAGAGTATCGCTACACTGAAAAGTAAGCAACCGACAGCCTGTATAAAAGGGGCTGTGATTGGCTGTTACTTATGCGAGATTTGAACGGGACTTACATAGGCGTCGGATCAGATGTATGTAGGGTGGAATTAAAAAAAAATCACAAAATCAAAATCAAAGTAAAATAATAAAATAAAAAGGCATTAATAACAAAAGTAATAAAAAATTAAAATAAATTTATAGCCAAAATAATTAAAGCTCATACACTACATCAGATTTTAATCAGATTGGGTACGACCCTAGAGTGAGATGAACCCTAACCACTGTATTGCACTCAGGTATTTCAACTAAATAAAATGCATCACATCTTTGAATCATAAATTGGAAAAATATATTCTGATATAAAGATAAAAGAAATTTTTGCATCAAAATTATGTAAATCAAATGTTATTCAAATCACATTGTGGAACATGACGTTTGGTAAAATCAGTATATCTCACTGCATGAGCCCATATTACTAAATTATAATTATCATATTATTTTATAATCTTATATTGGTACACCTCACAAACAAGAACTTTCTTCACTACCAGGTACATTCTGATGTGTTCAAAAATACTGTAAAACATGTCTTTTTCGCAAGCATGTCTTTTTAGCGAATTTAGCGAGAGAACTGATTCGTTAATTCAAGATGTCGCTAATGACTTTATTATAAATTCAAAATGACCAAGACTTGGGGATTAGTATACAGTAATCCGGAATATAAAAATCTGGGGCGCTTCCTAATTACACTTGACAGTTTTTCTTTGTTTTTATGGAGGTGATAACTGCGCATTTGTTTTGGCACACGACAGACAATTATTGTGAAAACAGGAAATCAACAATGACAAGAGAGATTCGCTAAATCAACAATTCGCTATTACATCATTTTATCACAATTCACTAAAATTGCCTGTCAATTTTTCAACATGTTTTACAGTATTACTACAGTATTAAACTATGACTATTTGTTTTTAAAGTGACAAAAATTAATAAATAAAAC